GGGTTGCGCTTGAAACTGAACGGTTTATGAATCAGTTCGTGTTGTTCTAATTAGGACTTGTTGATATTCTGATTTTAGACAATTAGGTTTAAACGTAAGCATTCACGAAGGATTCTGCAGATTATTTGAAGCTATGAGTGATAGTTTATGCATTCTGCCCACTCATAGTGATGTGTTAATTCATCAATTGATAAATTATGAGCAGATGAGTATCATCTGGATCGATGTAATCGTACTGTAGGCAATGTGGCTTATGAAAGATGAATTTGGTTACTTGCTAAATGCTATTGTCTTTCGAAACAGATGCTGAGTAGATCATGAATGCATGTGATCATCACGAAGATGTCTTCGTTCACAATGCGTATTACTGTACGAGACAAATAAATCTACAAACACACATCTTTTATTCATACAAAGTAATAATTTTCGCACTTCACCATTATGAAAACAAACGAAATTCATTCAAATTGATCTCTCCAGTATTACACAAAGATAATATCATATTATAACAAGTGATGTAATGCATGTCGTAAATGAATCTGGGGAAATTTGATAATTTCCAAAGAGTTCGGTTGTTATGATACACAGTATCATATTCTAAAGCTCGTTTCGCAACAATGATGATTTCATCTGATCATGATTAGTCATCTAAACGCTCATAATTATTCATTTGAATAATCTATCGAATACACCCAGTAATGCTATCAATGAACCTCGTTTTTACAAAAAATCGTTGCTAAATTTCCTTTCGTTCTATTATTAAATTTCAACAATCAACAAAATTTTTTGCGAATAGTTTTTTGAAACAATCATTTGCAGTGCTTGCCAGAACTTTCACAGATTCAGTTGTTGAAAGTGACGAGAGTCGGAGAGTGAATACGGTCGATAAAATGAGCCTGGCATAGTCATTCATTGTTGACACGTAGCATAATACATTTTTGCAGTTGACAACAAGAATAATATTGATAATGGAGTAATACTTATAGTGATCATATCATTATAATCATATTAATAATAATAATAATAAGCAGTCATCAAAAAGAACAATTCACACAAAACATTCACAATAAATTATTCCTCTTTCATAGAGCCCGGCATCATAATTTGTGAATTACACGATTGATCGACGGCTGATCGCTGCTTCTGTTTCTTATCTTTCATCCTTCGGTTCTGAAATTTTTTATCGTTCTTATATTTCGATTGTTTGAAGTTTATTTTGAACGGAATTATTTGATTAATTTAATTCGTAAATTCGCCACGCATACAGCAACTCATTTATGATTCAGTTAAAAACTGCTTATTCGCTTCAAACAAAACACCAATAATAAGTGATAGCGAGAAGTGGAAACGTTTGCAAAAAGTTTTCTGCGGTTTTTTGAATAAATTCATCAACTACTATTAAAAAACTACATTGTAAAGTGATTTCGCCTTACCTGAAACCAAATTTTGACTTGTCTCTCGGATAAAACTAAATTTCTGGCTAACTCCCATCGTTTCTGTTTGCTTACATAAGTATTGTATAGAAATTCTTTCTCCAATTCAAGCGTTTGATATTTTGTGTACGGTTTCCTTTTCTTCCTCGACGAAATATTTCCTGTCCAATCGAGTGTAGGATCTTAAATGTTGACGATCAGTATCAGTCAAATATTTGGTTAAGTGAACCAATAATAAGCCAACCATTTAAAATAAATATAGATGAATAGACGGGCGGGTAAGAGGTACAGATTAGACGTATGCACATGGATCGCGTATTCATAAATTTTACGACCTTTCGTTAGGCTGAGGTTAAGTTTGCGTTGTGCACTCTTAATTGTGGGTTATGTGCTGTTTGCACAGCTAAACTCTTAGCACGAATCGCAGATAAAAATCCATTCAAAGTATTCTCATGCAACCCGAATACCATAAATAACCCATAATTAGTATTCGAGATATAGTTGGCAACCATAAAACTTCTTCACATGTTCCTATCATCACCTCATCTGCAAGTTCCTTTTACTGTCATATTGAACATTCTCTTTTTAAACACTTGCCAAATGTTCATCTAATCAATCCATATCTAATCATTACCCATAAAATATATGCTAGCTTCACTTCAAAATGTATGCCATCGAAATTAGAGATACAAATATCTGTGATAGATTTCCACAATTGAAGGCGGATTCCACACTGTACTGGAACTGAGCTATTATGTAATCAAAATTGAACTTATTAACTGATGCTTATAAGTATGAAGTGAACGGTAACAAAATTCTGCTGAAGGTTATCAAATGAAAGTGAATGGTTAACGGGGAATGCGA